TATATATATATATATACACACACACACAAAATAACGTAACAAACATAGAAATCAGATTAAATTGTGAAATACTCAACACAGCTTATTGTACTGTTAGATAAAATATGTATTGATTGACATTAATGATCACATAATCACATGAATGAATCACACCATTGCGATTAGTTAATTCTTTCTTCATCTGAGGTCTCGGATTGATTTTTATATCGTGAACACAAGGCTTTACTCAGATCTGTTAATAAGCTGTTCAAAAATAATTATTGGATGAGAAAAATGAAGTTGCAGACGTGATAATGGTTGCGTTCAGCAGAAAAAGCATCTTTGTAACTGTTGTAAAATTCTTCAATATGATTAGTTTATTATATACATTTAGAGTTTATATATTTAAGGAACCAAAAGAACCAAGCGTATTGAAGAATTTTACAACAGTTGCAAACTTTTTCTGCTGAATACAGTCAATACACAGTTTCTGATAGGTTGAAATTCTTATACTCGTATTTATAGTCAAGCCTTATATTTAAGGCTCCCTTAAATTTATCTTTAAATACTCTACGAATTATTTATTGGCTGCTGAGTATCTAAAAATAAATTTAAGGAAGCCTTAAGTATAAGGTCTGGAGACTATGGATGGTATTCATAGTCGAAGCTCAAGGCAGCGCTTAAGACCGTCTCGGTCAAGATTGTCTTATTCAATTAAGATCATCTTGAAATCGTAACATTTCATAGTTACGAAATAAGATGACCTTCGAGAAGAAGTTTTTCCTTAAGAAATTCTTGTTTGATTTAAGATCATCTTGACGAAGACGGTCTTAAAGTTGAACTTATTTTATATTCTGTTTCCGTATATTTCGGTTGGATTCTTCAATAGAAACACTGCATTTGAGAAGTATAAATATTAACGAAATGTGTTATTATATTATCTTTGGTATGATTAGACTGTAGATTCTGATTTGAAGTGCGTTCCCTGGTGAAAAAATTTTGAAATTATTATTATGTTTGAAATATTTTAGCAAAATATTGTTGATTGAAATTTTGTTAATTGAAAAATTATTGAAATTTCATTGAAAGTTAATAGCTGAAAAACATATTGAAAAATCGCTGAAATTGAACTGAAATTTCTCTGAACTTCTGTAGAAACTTTTCTTAAAATTTCTCTGAAATATTGCTAAAAATAAATTTTTCAACAAAAAATCGTTGAAATTAAACTGAATTTTTTTTTAAATACTGTCCCAAAAGGGATTAATTTCAATAAAATTCTTCCATCAAACTTGAAGAACGGATTTTACAGATCTGTCTTGTCCGTCTTGTCTATATTTTTCCTGGAGTACTGCAAGTGATAATTAATGTTAAGAAGATCGCGTTCACCTCAAATTTTGATAAAAAAATACTGAATCAATGTGTTTTCGCGTAAAAATAAATATTTGACAAGAAAAGGTGTCGCGTTACTCCGCGAACCGAAATATATCATTAAAATTGACAACTATTTAGATTAGGAAATCTGTCAGCAGTGGTTCATTGTTTTTAAAACACAAGTCATTGCTTTAAAAATAATATAAGAAAATAATTTGTATTTTTAAAGCAGTGAATTTGTATTTGTAAAGCAGATTTGTTTTAAAGCAGAAAAGCTTAAATTATTTAAAATTAATACCTTTTTAATTTTTTTTATATGAATTAAAATTTAAATCTAGCATTTCTTTAAAATACATGCTGTAACCTTAAAACATGACTTCGCTGTTGTCCAAATTCCTATAAATTCCTATAAATTTTGAAAAAATTACAAATGTTTTATAATTTATTGTTAAATTTTTATTAATTAAAATTAATAATATTATCTAACGATTTAAATATAAGTAAATCTATCATGAATCTCTCGCGTTTTTAATTTTTTGTGCTTGTTTTAATGTGAAACATAAAACGTCATATAAAAAAAATCTTTTGATGCTGCATTTATATAGACAAAATTTACAAGAATCATATTCATTTATAATCGGTTAAATCTTGTTTATGATCGATTAAAATATTTCCCGTATGAATTTTGACCATAAGTTTGCATTACCAACAAATTTTTGAAAAGCAAGCTAAGAATCTTATTTAATTGTTTTATTGAATATATCATTTTTCAGTACAATCAGAGTCTGCAATAGAGAAATATCTTGTTTGCCTACAAGAACTTGCACACATGATCATAATGCATGGCTGCGTTCGGAAATATCACTCATTGGTGTGTTCGATGACTTCAATGGGTAAGTAGTGTCTTTGGGTAGTGAATGTTCCCGAATGGCTTCCGTATGTCATCTCAATTCCGCCACGTTTAACCCTAATCTCGAGCTAAACAATTCACCGGTGAAGAAAGGCAATGGAATGATTGTAAAATAGAACGATGGCAGTATATGATTGTAAAAAGAAAGGAATATAAGTCATTCCTTCTAAATTTCGTATTTCGATTGGTCGATTCCCTTATGCATTATGCATTATGCGTTATGCAAGTCTGTGCTGTAGTGGCACTCGGTGTGACTCTTAATGTTTCTAAACAATTTCATACTAGTGCACACCGAGTACACACTACAATAGTATTTCTGAATGGGTGGTGTTTAGTGGCACACCAGCGAATGTTTCCGAATGCAGCCCATATCGATACATTTAAGTATCAACACATTTCTTAACCTCAGTAGTCGTCAATTTTGATGTATAATATCTTGATTTACGGAACAGAGTGACATTTTTTTATTATCAAATATTTATTTTTACGCGAAAATGCATCTATTCAATGTATTTTTATTAAAATTTGAGGTGAACGAGGTCTTCTTAACATTTTTAATTTTTGCTTAAGTCTTCGAATACATCTTGGCGAAACTGTCTTATTTATTATATACATGTCAAATAAGATTTCTTATAATGAATTCGTAACTAGAACATAATCTTAAGTCTATTATTTAGCTTATTTTAAACAAGATGTGTTTATGAATCATATCAAGACTGTTCAAGACGTTTTGAAATAAGATCGTCTTCGATAAGTTTTAACTTGAGATTTTACTCAAGTCTTATTTTTCAACTAAGTACGGTCTTAAGAAATCACGAACCAATTAGAGGGCTGCATTAGTGTCTTAAAGCATTACTATTATGATCTTGAATATAAGATCTGACTATGAATGCCAGCCTATCATATACGGACATTATTCCCTGTTTTCTGTTCCCTGTTCCTTTTACTGTGCGGAGTTCCTTACTTCTAGAGATTTTAGTATAAGGCTGGATTTTCACTTGATGCTCCTTTTTAACATCACAGGTCACGTGACAATTGACGAATATCAAGCATTAATTTTGATCACATGACCTGTTTGGATGCTGAAAATGAGCATTGTAGCGTCAAGTGAAAACCCAGCCTAATACGTGCATAGTGGCGCTAGTAGCGGACCAGTTGACTGCACGGACTGCAGCCGACTTCGAGGTAATCGCCATTTTGTTGAGTGCAGGAGGATGCCGTCAGTCTCCTGTTTGTTTTACTTATTACTTATTTAGTGAATAAATTGATATAATTGTGATACAATAGCTCGCAACATTTTGCCAGAATGACGCAGTTCTTACCGCCAAATTTGCTGGCGTTATTTTCGCCGCGTGAACCGATTCCGTATTTGCCACCTGCTAGCAAACTTCCGCATGAGAAGAAAAACGGTGGTTACACCGGCGTCGGGATCTTTCTCAAGTATTTCGAGGTAATAAAAGTACATTATGTATTTCTTTCAAGAACATCGTATTATTTTATTTTACGGTTTAGAGTGATTTTCGGAATACATTTTTACATACACATATATTTACACTTTTAAAAATATTTTGTTGATCGCATTATGATATACTCCTTTTGTATTTTGTATCATACGTGTAAAGTGTTTCTTTATTTTACATATAAATAAATGTTTTTCATTCACATAATGCTCTTTTATTGAAACTTTCTCTTAAGTATATGAGGTCAATTGATAATTCCAATAGGTAAGTCGAATGAAACCATTTCTTATTATAGAAAATTGATGCGAACAATCATATAGAATATTTTTCCTGTTTTAAGTAGATAATTTTCTCTAAAATTATTGATAATAAAGAAAAACGTTTTATGAAAATGATATGGAGACGTTTTCATGTTTTGCTCATATTTTTTTCTCAGTAGAGGTAAAAAAATAAATATGAAAGTCATCTTCACTTTTTAAAATAAAATTATAATTTTCTTTTCACATAATATGATTTCTTTAATTATTCTGTGTATAAAAATACTAATAGTGTCAACAAATTGAAATAGTTTATGAAATATTTTATATTTTGTATCAAAATTTGGCAAAATGAAATATAAAATATCTCATAAATTATTGATTTTTCGATAGCCTTACTTTAATACTTTTATACAAAAAAATAAGTAAAAAAATCATGTGAAAAAATTATATAATTTTCCTTTAAAAAGTGAAGATAACTTTCATATCTTTTTGGTTACTCTATCGAAAAAAAAATATGAGCAAAATACATCTCTATTTCACTTTTATCTGAGATTTTTTTGTATAATTAATAATTTTAGAGGAAGTTGCCCACGTAAAATAAAATAGAATGTTCTATATATATCCATCTTATTTCTATATATATAAGATAATTTATCTATTTTTTTATCTTAAATTGCAAATTTAAAATTATTATTACATCATCGTTAAGAGTTTTGTTTTTTTTTTGCTTTACTAATATTTTTGATAAAAAATATTTTTAATAAAAAATATAAATATCTTTTTATAGGATCCGAAAGATACTCCACCACCTGTGCGTGTAGAGACACGAGAAGAACGATTGGAGCGTAGACGAAGAGAACGTGCAGAGCAAGTTGCATATAAACTTGAACAAGAAATTGCAGTATGGGATCCAGCTGGCATTTCCAATGTTACAGCAGATCCTTTTAAGACTCTCTTTGTAGCTCGAATTGTAAGTTATAATACTGATGAAATATAATAATGAAACTATAGAATATATTTTCGTATATATTTGTTTCTTCTTTTACTTCTTATACTACTTATTTCTTTTACAGAATTATGACACCTCAGAATCTAAACTGAGAAGAGAATTTGAAGTATATGGACCAGTAAAAAAGGTAAAAAACTTTTTCTAAGGATGAATTTTTTTTACTAAAATTTAATTAAAAAAAAAACTATAAGTTTATTATCAAATTTCGCTTTTTACAGATTGTGGTAACACATAATACAATTAATGGCAAGCCTAGGGGATATGCTTTCATTGAGTATGAGCATGAAAGAGATATGCACTGTAAGTAGCAACGACTTAGAAAGGTAAAAAAAGAAATGTTATTTTTATCGCGAAGCTCAATGAGCCCCCCCATATAGTCTGGAATTTCATCTTATTTAGCGTCACTTCCAGCTAGATATTATGGGGGCAGGGCTATAGTTAGGCTACTCATTTTCATTGGTACTTCAAATAGTACCATTTGGGAAGGGGGGGGGGGTCTTCACCATACGCACATCTATGCAGGAAAACGTTCTGTAAATGCATAAATATGGTAAAAAACGAAACGAACAAAAAAAAAACGACGTGAACGTTTATTGGCTATCTTTGATTAATGCAGTTTTTATCTTGTTCTTGGTACAGCGTGGTGGCCGCTGCCGGCAACTAGTGCCATTCACTATTCCATGCAAAATCCCTGAACCTGCCTGATAAGATAGGTTTGTATGTGTGGTAAGATCCAACATACAACAACGTTTGTTAGTCTATTTGCTTATCCTATTTATCGTGTCTGATTTTGTCGAGTAATACGCGATTTAAATCGGATTATAGCAGATTATTAAGTGTCCAAGATGACATCTACGAGGTTCTTTATGGGATTTTTTGATCCGGAATTTTGACGTGTGTGTATATATAATATACATGTGTGTATGCGTGCGTGCGTGTGTGTGTGTGTGTGTGTGTGTGTGTGTGTGTGTGTGTGTGTGTGTGTGTGTGTGTGTGTGTGTGTGTATACGTTTACGACTTTTTCTCTTTGAAAACATGTCCCATTAAAACTGTTCATGGATTCATGGATCTAGGATTTCATGATATGTAAACGGCTAAAACATTACAGTTCATAAAATTTACGGTCATTAATATCTATGGATCCAAGAATTGTGTAAAAGTTAGCATTTTACATTAAAATTGGGGCCTTTAGGATGAAGGTTCAGGGACACATTACCATTTATATAAAGAACAGAATATAAATCAGAATATTTTGTACAAATATTCTAGTTTCATAGACGAATAGCAGGATATTTTATAATTGATATAATCACTATAATTCTGTGATTTGAAGGTAGAAAAATTAAGATATTATAAGTAAAGAGGCATTTATTTCTACCGTCATGTTATAGAATGGCATTAGGTCTTTTAGCATTATGATGCTAATATCTTATAAAATAGGATGAATTTATATCGGACAGTATTGTTATATAAATGAATTTATGTAAAACGTGTAATTAGTCTACGAGCTTTTTCTAACAATTTTAGGGTAAGATGCATTTTTGGATTTTACTTCTTTGTTAGTTTTCATATGCGGTAGACTTTTGAAATTAGTTTCTGATTTGAAAATTCATCACATGAAATATAGAGATTAAATTAATTCCTGAAAAATCGCGTTATAATTGATAACAATAAAGTATACAATATATACGTAATATTTGCTATTTGAATGCGTGAAAATAGTCCATTGATAGATGTAAACTCAAAATTTGAAAGTCAGAGATGGAGAGCAAAATATAAAATGTATGATAAGACTATTTAAATATTATTATAGTTCAAAAATGTTCAATTTTTGTCTAATATTTACTTTAAAAAAGCGATTTAAAATGTAAAACAAGTCCTCGAATATCAATTTCGATATGGAATATCAATTTTTCTTATTCAGTATTAATTTCTTATTTTATAATCAGTTTCTTATTTTAATGTCACTTGTTATGAAAATATAATCTCAAACAATGCATACGCAACATTTGCGGATTGTAGAATCGCTGGATCCTAATTTTCTGAATCATCAAAATGGATTTGGCCTTCATTGATTCTAAAATTTTTTTATTTTAATCTTTAAAAACACTTTCGAGTATACCCAAGTCTTTTTATTTTCAAGATTAGAACTTTTTTGTTTTTGAAAGGTGGCTACCGTTTGAGTCAGAAAATATAATGAGTGCGTGCGTGTGTGCGCGTGCGTGTGCACGTGTATGCGTGTTGTGTATGTGATCATTTATGTAATATAATAAACATTTTTATTAGATATAATAAACATTTTATGTTTATTATATCTAATAAAAATGTTTATGCCAATGTTAATTCTAGAAATTTATTTGATTCATTTCATCGAAAAATAAGAATTTTTAAATAAAATATATAATTTTTTCAAAACTATTATTTACTTTATAACTTATAACTTTTTTATTAATAAGGATATGTACGCTTGTTTAGTATTTATATTTCTTATTGTTTAGCGTTTTGATTGAAAAAAAATTTGTTAAGGTATGTTCATTTTTATAAATGTCTGCAATCAAAATTGGCTTGGGTATGCCAAATGTGATGTTTACGTTACAAAAGGGATCAAAGTGTTTTTAAGGATTAAGGTCCGAGAAATCCGAGAAATGTAGAATATCGTAGGCTTTAATTTATAAAGTTGGATCTTCGGATTTATGATTGTGCAATGCGCGGGAAATAACGACATTTCCTCTTTCCCTCTTTCTCTCTTTCTCTTTCTTTCTTTCTCTTGAATCATAGAGAGATATCGAATTAGCGGAGCGAATAGGCAAATGTTCCTTTAATATTACGCTAAATACATATAACCTATTGCTAGGTCACTATAACATATCATAAGTACATATGAAATGCGCACGGTTTGATCGTAAGTAGAACGAAATAAAAGCGCACCAGGTAAATGCAATGTAAATCTCTTCGGAGATTGAACGAACAAACGAATGAACGTATGAAGACTGGGCATCTTCGCAATGAGTAATCTCCTCGCGAGTCTCTTACGAGTTCATTTCATGATTAGACCGTACCTCTAAGCTTTGTGTTAACTTCCGTACGTAAGTAGCCGCGGTAGGTATTTTTTGTATTTGCTATACTTTTTGGATCTTAAACAAGTAGTTTTAAGCTGCTTTAAAATCTGAAGCATCTTTTGCTTCCGCTCGTCGTCAGTTGCAGCTATGATTTGTTGACACATTCTCGTTTTACATCATAAAATGCAATTTAGGACATTAAATTAGATTTTGAGATTATTATGTATTTAAGATTGGAGAAAATTATTTTAAAAAATTATTAATATTTCTTTAAAAAAAGGGAAAGTTTTAATATATTACTAAATGCAAACGATGATTGTGGTAATAAAGTTTGTATTGTTTTTTACTTATAAGTCTGATTCTCAAATTTATAAGAAAACAATTAATTTCAATCGCCGACGAAGCATTTCAACTTTTTTTTTTCAAAAAAATTATTCCGTAATTTTCATGTCATAGAAACAATCTTTCTTTTATATTGTAATTCACAGAAGTACGTTACACTATTTTACGCTAATCTGTCAGATACTTATTAAATATTTTATTAACTTCCATTTTACTTAGTAAAACGACACACACCAACAAGCGGATGTCCGCGTGATCGGCTGTAGCTTGTATTATTACCTCGTTATCTCAATATCGGTTATAATATTCAACAACGATTTAAAGTTTGATTGATGCGATAATTAGCATCAGCGATTCAGATAGAGAGGTTTCCTCAGTATTTTAGCAAGTACTTCTTCTCGAGATATTTATAGTAAGACAGCGTGTCATCACTGAGATTTATGAATTTCTTTCAAGGTTTATCATTCTTTGAAACGAATACAGTTCGCATTCTATTTTATCATGCAACATTACAGGCAAATTTAGTCGATCCTCTTCCTTTCTTCTTCTTACGATTTCCTAATTGAATCTGAAATTTTTCTTTGAGAAAGGAACTGATGGTCCTTTAGATCTAATAATATATTCAATTTGTAAATTAAAGTATCATTTAAAACAAATTAAAGTATTTAGAAACATTTAAGCCTAAAATTGATAAATCTATATTCTTCTACAAACTCAGATTCTCGAAATCATGGAGACTAAAAATTTTATAAGTTCAGTTTGCGAATAAGTTAGTTTGCGAATCCGAAAATCTATGTTGAGTTTTAATATTAGTTAGTTTTTTGCTCTTTTTTTTTAAGTTCCGTAGATCTGAAAATTATTGGACCACATTATCTATGGTTCAATACCACAGAATTTTAGAGCTATCTCTTCGAAACTCTGAGTCTTGGAATGTATATTCGAAGACTTGAATTCGAGGATCAGTGGCTTGGAGATATTGTGAGAATCGTGGAATCTTTGTTTATTAAGAAACGATTTGTCGAATCCAATAATGCCCGATTCTAATACCCCGATAATTTAGGATCAATTTAGGATCTTGATATTGGCCGATTCCAGGATTCGCAGTCTCAGAAATCATCCTGTTAGGTTTCTCGGAGTTCGCCTTTTCGTCGAGGTGTAGACTTCGTAGACAATCATTTAGGCGCATGAATTCATTAGCGAACAGTAATTTCTAATCGGTATATTTTAGCTGCATATAAGCATGCGGATGGTAAGAAAATAGACGGCCGCAGAGTATTAGTCGACGTTGAGCGAGCAAGAACGGTAAAGGGTTGGCTGCCTCGAAGACTCGGCGGCGGCTTAGGTGGTACTCGTAGAGGTGGTCCTGACGTCAACATCAAACATTCAGGACGGGAAGATAATGAAAGAGAACGGGAGCGATATCGCTTGGAACGTGAGAGAGAAACTTCGGGACGTGGCCTGGATAGAGACAGGTGAGTAATAAGAAATGAAATAACGAGTAATAAGATGTGAAAAAAATTATATATATTGTTACGTCCGAGCATCCGGCGCGGAGACGTTCGTGTGAACACACTCCCGCCCGCAGAAATAAACAACATGGATTTATTATAAAAAAAAACAAGAAGATTTATTATGAAATGAACGCAGGACACACACAAACGCAAAGCTCAGAGTACACGATCGATGAGAGAATACGTAGATCGAGAGGTACGTCCGAGCATAGCGATGGCTCACGTCCAAATCTGCCGATCTTGTTAAAGCAACGCGACTTTCAGGAATGGCGATTTATAGTGTCGGCTCGGCACGGGCGTAACACTGCCCCCCTTCTCTTAAATTGTCGTCTCCATAATTATGGTTCTTCCAAGAACGTTAGCCTCTCAAAGGAATTCCGAGTTCCCTCCTGACTAATTTCCTGCTCCCTACTGTGCTGCTGCAACAGTTTTCTTGAGTTTTGGTTTCCTTGAGGTCCTTGAGGTCCGATTTTCCTTTCGAGACTTATTCTTGAGGCCTTGTTTCTTTCCGAGAAGGACTCCTCTTTAGTTTCTCCCTAGAGGATAGCTATTCCTTCGTAGAACGAAACCCCCCCCGTCTTCATAAAGGGAATGCCAGGTTCTTGCCTCTTCTCTTGAGGCTTTGCGCTCTTGGTTCTTCTCTTTTCAGAAAGGGGGGGGGGGACGAAAAAATGATGTAGTATCTCTGTTCCCAATCCTCGCCTCAGCATTCGCCCTCTGTCTCATGAAAAAAAAACACAATTCAAAAATCGCGGATGAGGCGGTCTTCTTAAAAAAAATGTAGGGCCGTTCAGTTGAAGCGCATTCGTTGATAACTTCCGTGGAAGATGAGCTGGACTGGCTGTGAGGTGTCTAAAACGATTTCACCGAAGTTCTCGAGGAGATCCTCTCCGTCCGAAACCGTGTTAGATGCCGCACGAACATGAACTCTGCAACTAAGAAAGAAAAATAACTCGCGCAGTTTACACCATAAGATTACAATTCTTTTTAAGTGATAGGGCTCCGATTTGTTTACTTTTTTAGCTCGTTTCTCCTAAGCATCTTTTTAAATAAGGCGTCAGCCTATCCGAATGAACAACTTTATTTTTATGCTTGTTTGACTTGCAGATGCAATATACAATGGCTAAGTTTCTTAACTAAATATGGTTCTTCCCAATTGCTCTGCAACTTGGGAGTCCCTCCATTCTCCCCTTCTTCGGAGATTATATAATCACATTTTTTGTTCCTCCTCAAAATATATCTACCTGGCTTTAAGATCATATCAGGTTTTTGTTCATGAAGATTTGATATCTATTCGTTTCCTTATTCCTTCTGAATTTCTTCCAGCTTTCTTTTCATTTTTCCCAAGTAATCTTACGGAGAACCAGTCTCCTCAGTTTTTGGTGGATTACCGCATAACAAATCAATCGATAAATGAAGATCTTGGGTAAAATAATCTTCTACTGGAGTCATTCCAGTAGTTTCGTATTTGGATGATCTGTACGCCAGCAGATATAATGGAATCTCAGTCTTTTTGATTTTCGGAGATGAATTTTGCCAAATAGTTCAAGATGGTTTGATGCTGACGTTCTATCTGTCCGTCCTGTGGGTGCAAAGCGATTGTTTTCGTTTTCTTCATCCCTAGTAAGTGTGACAGATCGCGAAAAATTCTCGATTCGAAGTTCCTCCCAAATTCGATGGAATTCCAGCAACCGCAATATTTTTTACGCGAGCGCATTTGAAATCAGTGTCAATATCAGAAACTGATCCGAGAAAAATGTAATCAAAAATATTTTGTAAATTAAGTAATTTAAAAAAATCGACACCCAAAATACAATCATCATTTATTTCGGCTATTAACATTGGTATCTCAACACAGTAGTTTGCAAGTCGAACTTTTACTTTTATGGTTTTGTATCTGATTGGAACTTGTTCCCTCGTGGGATATTTAACAATTGTCAATTATAATTTTCGATTTACATGATTCAACAAAATTACTATTTATAATTGAAATATCGGAGCCCGTATCAATTCTAAGAAGACAAGGTTTATCATTAACTTTGCTTTCATAACAAAAATCTTTCACGTTATTCTTAATTCTATTTTTCCTGAAAGAACATTGATTAATATAAATTATAAGGATAAAAATTAATACATCGATTATTAAAACATTGTTTATTTTTAGTAGAATAAGAATATTTTCTAAAAGAATGTAGATTAGCACAACAATTATCATCAGCAAATACAGACTTATCTTTAATATCACCAAAGCATAAGCCATTCAAGTAAATAATAAATATTTTTCGGGAATTCTTTTATTTCAGTCGAGCCTTCTCCGTAAAGCTCAACTATTCCTTGTTTCCCATTTTGCCAGGACACTGAACAGAAATGCCCCTCCTTTCTCAACATTCTTTATTATTTCTATTCTCTCAAAATGTTTATTCTTTGGAAATCTTTTGAATTTCCATTAGATTTGTTCCCTTCTCTCTCTCTCCATTTTTTCTTCAGTTTGAAAAAATTCTCTTCCTTTTTAATAAAATTATTTTCTCGTTTTCTTCCGAACTTTAAATTATTCTCTTTTTATGTTGAAAATTATTTTCTTGAATCAATTTAATTGCCTTCTCTCTTTTGATTGCTATCCTTAACGATTTTATTTTCCATTTTATTCCATTTTATTTTCCATTTGGAGAGCCTTTTTTACGAATCTGTCGGAAAGAGCGAAAACAAATTGTGCGCATGCGATTTTATCGCGAACTGAATCGGGACATTCTAGATAACTGTGACAACCTTTCTATGGCAGAACCTAAAGAGATATTTTCTCCGAATTTCTATTTTTTATTAGTAAATTGCGAATAATAGTTTTGTAACGAAAGCGGCTCTCCGAAACTCATCTCCAATTTCGACTTTAACTCTTCGAATTGTAAGTTTTCTAAATTTTGTATGCTTTTATATGCAATACTGCACACCCTTTACCTCGCAAACACGAAACTAAAATAGCGGTCTTTCCTCTTCCCAATTCACATGATAAGATTGAATTGCGTGAAAAACTCGCGTAAAAACGCACTTCCGTCGTAAATATCTGGTTTCAGTTTTATGTCCCCCCTCCCCTCCGCAAAGCAGCGCAGACGGATCGAAATGATCGACACTCTCGACCGCAGACAATTCACGACATTTGTGCAACCGGCATCATTTACATAGGAGTTAATTAAGTTGGCAGCGCTCGTGATCGGATTCGTGCAATTGACAGAATCAGGGAAATTGACAATACTCGCGACAGGATTGGCGTGCACAACGTCATTCGCAGCAACAACAGAATGACGCGGGAGGATGGATTATTATTGTAAACATTATTATAGAGAGACTTAGCTGGTTTGCAGGAATCCCTTACAGTTTTTCCTGAAGTTGCGCAATCTCCATATTCCATTGTCGCAACGTCGCCGCAAGTTCCTCCTGTTGCTGTTGTGCGACCTCTGCATCTCGCTATCGCAATATCTCCGTAAATTCGATTCTTGTACGACGTTGTTCCTCACGCAGTTGTTGTATCTCTTGTAGAATAGCTTGAAGCGTCGACGGAAAAAGCTTCCTCTGAAGCAGCTCGCTGAACTATTGCTTCCGTCGTTTGATTTTCAATTCTCGCTGACGTTTCCTGCGAAAACATCTCCATTTAAGCTCTTTTCCTCGTAATGATCGAACGAATCATTACACGATCCCAGATCCCAGACGAGCCCCCAAAATGTTACGTCCGGCTCACAGAGACGTTTGCGTTCACGCACTCCCGCCCGTAGAAATGAACAACATGGATATTATAAAAAAAACAAGAAGAGTTTATTATGAAATGAACACAGGACACACAAGCAAAGCTCAGAGCACATGATCGATGAGAATAAGCAGACTGTGAGACATGTCCGAGCTCAGTGACGACTCACGTCCAAATCTGCCGATCTTATTAAATAACAGAGTTACGTGTCGCTGGGCAACGCGACTTTCAGGACTTCAGAGTGGCGATCTAGTCAGCTCGGCACGGGCGTAACAATATAAACACACACACACACACACACACACACACGCACACACACACACACGCACACACACACACACACACACACACACACACACACACACACACACACACACACACACACACACACACACACACACATGATTGATTATTTCAGAGATCGTGACCGTTTAGATAGAGAACGTCGTAGATCACGCGATCGTAAGCGAAGGACTAGGAGTAGATCACGCGAACGCAGACGCAGGCGAAGTCGCGACCGACTGCCGGATCCCGATATTGAAGAAATCGATCGTCCACGTGACAGAAGAGACCGTGATCGTGATCGCGATCGGGATCGCAAAAGACGGCGGTCACGAAGCAACGATCGCGATCGCGATAGAGATCGTAAGCGAGACAAACGGGATAGGGATCGTGATCGTAGGGACAGAAAGGATCGCGGTGATCGTCAGGACGAGGATACGAAAGAAATCCGTATTAAGGAAGAACCATTGGATGGTAAATTTGAAAAAGAGATAAATTTCAACATATTTTTAAAATATCGACATATTTTCAAAGAATGAATATTCAAATGTTAAACTATCTTCTAGATTATCCAGACTATAGCACTACATTTACGACGTCGGGCTCATATTTTACTGCAGTCAAGTACGAAGACGATAATGATCAGGAAGTGGAAGAGAAATACCGGATTCCGGAGGGTCGTTCCGACCCACCAGCATATAACAATTACGATTCCGTACAAGATTATTGATCTCGAATAGTACATATTTTTATCGTATTCCTTTTTCACAATAAGCCATCGCTTTATTTTATCGTTGCATTGTCTTTATTGTTAATATAATACTGGCGAATTAGCTTTTTTAAGAGCGAATCAAATTGAATGCTCTTTAACTATGAAGTATTCGGACAATTATTATAAAAGTCATAAAAGAATTAGAATTAAATACAGAAATTCTGTAAAATTGAATTTCTGTAAAACTTTCAAAATACATAATAGTAAATAAAAAAAGAAATAATTTATATTACAAAAAAAAAATTAAAAAGAGAAAAGATACGAATTTACATCATCTAGTAAATTAAATTTTGATATAAGAAGCCGTTCAAAAAAATTGAATAATATTGCTGTATATACACTATACAATATAAAAACGGCCGATAACAAATGAAAATTATGTACTAATCGCTTTATCATTTCTAAAGGTGACTGGCATTAATTAAAGTATTATGAGGAAATCACGAAAATTATACATGTGCATTTATGTCAATTTGAAGCATATTTTGCCTTTTTTCTCCCTTTTCTTCTTCCTATTATTGAGAGTATATTTACAACAAGAAATCTTCGGCATATTTTAATTAACAGAGCAACTAATATGTTGTAACAGATTATGAAAGCTGAAAAAGTACTCATAACTGATTACTGACTAAGTACTACATTGTTCAAAAAATAATTTAATTTAAGTATCATTTATATATGTAATCGCGCGAACATAAAACACACTTTGACTTATGACTGCTACATGTATTAATACGTCGGGTAAAAATAAAATATGAAATTAAATTGTTACACATGCTGTTTCTTGTTTCAAATGTTAGAAATTGTATCTGAGTATATCAATAGATATATTAATTTCTAATTTTTAACTCTAAATTAAAGTTTGACATTCAGGTATAATATACAGCAAAGGCTAATGTCAGTTCGCAAAATAAAACGCAATTTTGATTTTATACCTAGATTGTTCTGCAATTCTAGTAATCGATTTGTATAAATCGCTTGATATCAGAATGCCACGCAAGTGTCAAACGATTTCACAAGCGAAATAAAAGTACAAATGATTTAATATGGTTTTAATAAATAAAAAAAATAATATTAAGAAATATTGAAGAAATAAAAATATTTTTTACCTATTTTTTCTCAAGTATGATTTCTAATAAGAAATTAATTTATTAATTATAATTTATTAATTATATTGTTATCGTGTATTAATTATTTAATAATCTAATATTTTTTAAAAAATTAGAAATATATTAAAAGTTTTTTATTTCACGCGAAATAAGATAATTTTTTCAACTCACTTATTTTTAGTACTTTGAATATTTCTAAATATGTTGATTTCCGATATAGCATCCACACACAATATCAATATGTTAAATTTAAGAGACTAAATATTAAGCGATAGATGGAGAGGAAGAGAAGGAGAGTTTGTCATTATTAATTGATACACAAATAATATTATCCCTTGAACTAATATTGCGAATTTTTTATTGTCTTTTTGCTCTATTGTTGTTAATTACTGCTCGATATGCGTGTGCTTAAATTAGCAATTGCCTTCCGGAAATTCCAATCTCTCATTATTTTTCAATGTATCCGAAATTACTTGATCTATCGCGTTCATCATTTTTTAAAAAATCCGTAACAGTAAATTGTGCTCTTATCAATGTATTTTAATAATCTTTTTGATTATTCTCGACAGGATTGCCATCATATAGATTTTTTTTTGTTTAAATCTTTACGGAATGAATTTACTTTCTTGAATTTTTATATTTACTGGACAATTTGTCATAGGAAATTTAAATAATAATGAAATAGAAAATATATAAAAAATATATAGAAT